TATAGCACTACCAAATTCTTGGTTTCTATATACGTACATGTATAGATGACTTTTTAATAGAAACCATCGAGGAGCTTGAATCTGCTATATCAAATACCTAGCTATATGAATTGATTGGGCTATCTATTTAAATTTCAAGCTTGACTCCACCAAGTCACCAAGTCAATAACACTTACATGTGTAAAAGGTTAACTGTAAAGTTTTACAACACTTGAGTTTTATAAAAGATATATGTATATTTCAAAGATTATCTTGTGGCAAAAATATTTCTTTATGTAGTATTAACTAATTTGTTGCAATTCTAAGAACGTATATTTCTTATGATATGAATATGAAGATGATTTTTCTAGATAATTAAGTCTAGCTAATCATGATCACTCTTTATATATGTATCAAATATCGGTGATCCAATCTTATGATACATCTGATGCAGTTGGCTGTTCAAATAACAGAAATAAACTTGACTAATGCTCAAAAAATTTAAGATAATTTTCTAAAATATCAAGAAAAACAACTAAACTATTTCTTCCATAGTAAAAGAGTCGCCACTAAAGATAAACAATTTGCTATCTTCATTCTATATTGACTTTAAATATTAATGCAAATATGAAGAATAGCTATTTTTCGTTCAGCCCATCTCTTATTTTCAGACCGATTATTAAAATCAATATACTTCTTATATTTTCATGAGCTAAGGAATTTACAAATGTATTTATTTATATAATTTCAACATTCATAAAGGAAAACACGATTACTTATGAAATTTATTTATTTATTGATTTTTCAGTATGAATGTCTATTTTTGTATTATTTTGATTGGTTTTGCACTGCTTTGTTTTATTTTATATTATAAAATAGATTCCTAATCTTAGCAGTCATCCAATAAATGCAACGCCATAAATTTTGCTTTATAAATTGGATTTGATTATGCGCCCGTAACATTAGCGATAAGCCACAGATAGAGTCGAACTAGTTGATTATCAGAGACTTTGTGTGCGTCCAATATTCTGTGAATATCAGTTACATAGTCTAGTTGTGATTACGTTACTATATGTATATACATATGTGTATTTACCTATATATGTATATTCATATGCACCGCATGTGCACCCCATCTATGTGTATGTGAATGCATATATGATGCACTCTAGAATGGGAATGGGTATATAAATTTATATATATTTATATAAGTATGTATATATACAAGTTACAATGCTCACGTATTTGCGATCGACATTGTAAAACTGTAAATTGCGTTTCGAAGGTCACATGCAAATATTTGATATTGCATTAAAAATAGTTTTTTTGAGCATAGGCGCCCCTTCTTTAATTCCCAAAGGGGTTTGAGCTGAGCTCATTCGGAAAAAAAGGGGAAAAAGATCGCTCATTTGATTTGTTTGTAATTATATATTCATTAAATGTAATTTATACATTATCATCTTATTATCTAAATAAGATTCTTATATTCTTTTACATGCTGTTCTTGCTTTTTGTTACTTCTTTAGATATATTCGAATAGCCAATTAGATTGAACTTGTTTAGAGGTGGGGGATAGGGATTATAATAGTAGTGGGAAATTAATTAATTTGGCTTTTTTGTTAGGCTTATCAACTACTTATGTCATTTTCTACAGAGATTTATCGATGAACAGCAGCATCATAATTCATAATTTACAGCATCATAGAAACTAATGCGACTTAGCGACGATATAAATAATAATAATAATAACAATAAAGGAAATTCTTTTGCTAAATAAAAATAAAGCCACGCTCAATCGACAATCGACGCCAGCTCTAATTATCGTTATCGATGACGTCATTGTTATACAACTTAAGCACTAAGGCACTAGACTAATATTTGGTTTGATCGCTTCAAAGATCCTTCACATTCCGTATGCCAATCTGGATGCGTACCGATCGCACAGAATTACATGTTGAAGGACAATGGCTTGATATTCGCAACCGAGGACATGCGACGGACGCGTCCCATCATCTTGCGCTCAATATCCTCCAGCGTCTTGCCCTGCGTCTCAGGCACATAGAATATCACAAAGAACAGGCCAACGAAGCAGATGGCGCCAAACATCCAAAAGGCACCATGTGCGCCCATAACATCTAGAGATTCAGATAGTTAATTAACAATTCTCGGAATGTCTTTCGGCTGTGCGGCTTACCTATCATATCCTGGAAGGATTTGGTCACCACAAACGTGCAGGACCAATTGAAGGCGGTGGCCACTGAGGCCGCTGAGCCGCGAATCTTGGCCGGCAAAATCTCGCCCATCATTAGCCATGGGATGGGTCCAAAGCCCAGCGAGAAGCCCAAAATGTAAACGACAAAGCAACTCAGCGGCAGCCAGCCCACATTCGAGGTATCCATGCCCGTGGACTTGCAATAGAAGAAGCCGCCGAGCACAAACAGCGTCAAGATCATGGCCACATTGGAGACATAAAGCAAGATCTGGAAAAACACGAGAGAGGGAGAGAGGATTGATTTTCTGAATAATTAAAGATTTTTTTGCTCAACTCACCTTTCTGCCAGCGCGATCGATCAGCACCGTTGCTATGAACGTAGCCATAAAGTTGACCACGCCCACAATGATGGTGCACACATTGCCATCGATGGTGGAGCCAGCATCTTGAAAGATTTGTACAGTATAGAAAATGACGGCGTTGATGCCGCTCAACTGCTGGAAGAACATCAGGCCCAGCGATATGGACAGAGGCTTCAAGTTGCTGCGCTTGAGGAGCTCCAGCATTGTGTTCTGAGTCGCCTGTCTGTCGGCATCCGCCTGGGAGCGCATCAAACCCTTCAGCTCCGGCTCGACGTCGGCCTCCTTGCCGCGCAGCCAGACGAGCGCCTTGCGTGCCCGCTCCTCGCGTCCACGGCTCACATACCAGCGCGGCGTCTCCGGGATGAGGAACATCAGTATGAGGAATGGAACAGGCAGCGTGCCGCCCAGGAAGGCCAGCATCGACCAGTCCATATAGGTGCCGGCCACAAAGCACAGCAATATGCCAATATTACCAAATGCCGTAGGCAACAGACCCAACGTGCCGCGCACCTCCGGCTGTACCGTTTCACCCAGATAAACGGGCAGCGATAGCGATGCGATGCCCACACAGAAACCGGCCAAGAAGCGTCCACACAGCACCATCACCACATTGACAGCACAGGCGATCAGCAGCCACGAAATGATGAACGGCACAGCTGTGGCCAGGATCGTATTGCGCCGGCCCAGATACTCTATGAACGGACCGCCAGCAATGCCACCGGCCAGACCAGCGAGCGGCATGATGCCACCTACCCAGGATGCCTGTAATCGAGAGAAATGGAAGGGGGTTGGATTAGGAATAGATTGCAATTGCTTCTAGCTTGAATCCCATATATTATGGTATGATATGGTAATAATATTCGGGACAAGACTCTTCAATTCAAATTCTGCTTTAAGCTAGGATACGAATACCATAATTTTGAGTTCAATTTGAAGCTGGATCAATTTCGAAAATATTACAATCATAAGACTGAGACTTTTCATAGGAACAACAAATCTACATTTGCAAATCGTTCAGGAACTGCAGATACAGCCAAGGCCTAGAATGTTAGCCATTGCGAAGGTTAGCTGGTTTCATTCTCTATTTAACTTTATGACAATGTTAATGTGAATATGAAAGTTCCAAATTCATTTATAAATTTCATTGAGCATAGCAATTGACAACTTTGCTTTGTTAAGGATTTATTGAAAGTACTTAACAACTGATGTAAATCTTGGAAGAATTTGAAAGCATATAAAACTATTGATAATAAATCGTGATCATTTACTTTTATTACTTGAAATATGATCATAAAAGTTTAAAGTTTTCTAACTGATCTCAACTATATATAAATATAATGTGATTAAAGAACAACAAAGAACTGGCAATTTGAGAATTTCAGTTTAGGAATCAGGGATTGCTAATATGAAATTGGTATTTGATGATTAGAGATCGGGAGTTTGGAGAACAGAAATCGGAAATATGACTGTTCACATAAATCAGTCAAGATCAACGAGAGCAAGGAACACTTTACATAATATTTTCACGCACTATTCTTAGCCTAAACTGGGTTTATTTGGTTGTCAAACTTACCGCTTGGGGTGTGACCACAAAGGACGTCAGATTGGTGTTTGTCATGGAGACCAAAGCGGGCGAAGTATAGGCGCTGGCAAAGCCCACGACCAGGGAGCCCAGCGAAACACTCAGCGCGGCAAGCACCTGAAATTATATAAGAAGAGTTTATATATATATGTATATTTAAAAAAAAAAACTATATATATTGGTGAAATTGAAGCGTAGATTAACCTGAGAGTAGGTGCACTTGGCCTTGGGCTCATCAATGGGCACCGAGAAGGACACGTGGGTGTCCGCGCGCATAAGGATCTTCATGATGGATCAGACACTGAATAGCACTGTGACTCGATTCGACGCGATTCGATTTGAAATGCGTTTGTATTGCCTGTTGCCTGTTGCAGTTGCAGTTGCAACCTTGTTGCACTGTCGCCTTTCACTTTACACTTTGGAAGCCTTGCTGACTCTATAGAGCGTTCAACGAATGCTTCTAATGCATTGCCGGACGGATGAAACTCAACTGAATCTAAAAACCTGTCACTTGGAACTCGACTCGAATGCAAGCTAGGCCGTTAGATTTTAAGTACGATTCGTTCGGTCACGTACATAAACTGCATATGTACATACATGCATATATATATACAAATAAATTCATGTAGAATTATATATATATATATATATATATGTTTATATATTTACACCAGCTGGTATTATTAACTGATGAATGTCTTATCAATTTCCTGAGGGCTAAAGCCCAATAATTGATTACGTCTCCGAACACAATTAAGACGAGCTTCAGCTAGAGCATCAGCCACAGTTGTTGTCATTCGCTTATCACGCTGTTTACGTGTGCCTCTTCACCAAATAATCGCGATAAGCCCCAAGATGCGGGGCTTTGGACTGTCCCCTGAGTCGGTTTAAATCGGTTTCTGTTTCGCGTCTTGCGACGTGCTGCGACTAATATGCGAAATGCAACTAAGTTAAGCGCACACTTGGCCAGCAGAAGTAGAAACAGCAGCAGCAGCAGCAGCAGCAATAACAGATGCAGCTCAATCATGATTGAAAGGGGGTAAGAAGAGGGCCTATATAATACCGCTGACGGGTCTATCCAAGCGTCCATTCATTCAGTTATTGTATTTTTAGTCTCGCATAACTAACTAACTGCGTTATTTCAGTTTCAATTTCAATTAAAGACATCGCAATGGTGAGGAGATAGGGGGGGCAGTGGGGGCTAGTCCAATCCGGGCGTGCGAAAATAGCCCGCCACGCGCTTCGCCAATGGCGACCCACAAACGAGGCGCTAAATTGAATGCCCGAATGCTTTATGGCAATATTAATGCCATTCATAAGGCCATACCCGAGCCACACATCACATCACTCTCTCCTTCATCGTCGCCCACTCGTGTACAGTCACACGCCGGAGTCGAGTGCTACATTATAGGCGCCAGTTTAGCAGTGTCAGCAGTCGACGCTTAACGATCCAACAATAGGCCGACTACGATCATGTTTATGCCGTGCTAATCCCAACTAATCAGAGCATATTTTGATCGGACGAAATGGGGTATTACGCATGGAATTACTAGATAACGCGTAAACTCTTAATAATTCAACCCTTTAGCTTCTACTTCTTCTACTAGATTATTACTATATAATTACGTGACTTCACAGTCTTATATCTCTTTTGGCTTTCATTCTTATCATTCCCTATCTAGAGCAGACAGACATTTCGTATAAACGTCATAGTTTATCAATTTGAGAATAAGTATGTGAATGCTGTCGTCATTCGTTTGACCTACCTGTGTCCATATATAGATGGGATTCGTTGTGGGCCTGTAGACCTCCAGCTTGGGCTTGCCATCCTCGGTGATCTGTCGAACAAAGGGCACAGCATGGCGTATGTTGTCCCCCCGTTTATTGCCCATCTCGTCCATTTCGTACAGTCGACGGCTGTAAATAATAAAAAAAAAAATAATAATAAGAAATTGCGTTTCACAGTCAAATCAAAGAATGAATTAAATATAATAGAATTGCGTCATCATATAACGCAAGCTGGGAGATTGGAAATTGGGGCTTGTGAATCGAGGATTGTGGGGTGCGAATCTCTGATTCGCTGTCAGCGATCACGTGAACAGAGATTGGAAGTTAGAGAACCAGAGATCGCGAATAAGAAATTAGTATTTGCTAATCAAGGATCAGCGATTCCTTGTGGGAATTTGGAGAGCGGATATCGGGATTATTGCTTTTCACTAACCTCTTGCGTGAATCTGTGCTAATGGAGCGCTGCTGTTGGAAATTCTGTCGCGAGGTGAGAAAATCCTCGTCGCTTTCGCTTTCCAGATCCTTCAGGTCGATAATGACTGGCTTGGTAATGTCCTTGGGACGATGTATTAGGCGCTTGTGTTCGGCGTCGTCGCCCTCCTCATCACTGTCGGTGCTGGAGCCCTGTAATACTTTGTCGAGCTTGAAGGTGACCCGTGGATCGAGACTCTGATGCTTGCGCCCCTGGAATTCCCGGCGTGTCTTATGAAACTCCTCCTCGGACGATGAGTCCTTGAGCAGATCCTGCAGAAATCGTGTGCCCTTAATATCAAGCGAAACGTGCTTCTTCGCCTGGAACTGACGGCGATTATCGTTGGCCAATATATGGCGCAAATCCTTGAGTATGCCCTTGTGGTCCACACTAGTCGCCTTCTGCTGCTGGAACCCGATGCGCTTATCCTCGAAGCTGTCCTCGTCGCTGCTCTCCGCGGCCTTGTTGTTGCCCTGCTGTTGTGGTTTCTCGAAGGAGACGCGCGAACCCTTCAGCGATTGCTTGCTGCGCTGCAGCTCCTCTCCACCAGTCACAATGCTGCGCTGCTGACGATCACGATGTGGCTCCAATGATGTGGGCGGTGGGGGCAAAGGCGTTAGCTCTAAGCTGCCACTCGAACGCAGAGCTGATCTCTGCTGTTGAATCTGTTGAGGTGGCTCGTTGATGTCGTCGTCCTCGAGCAGCGGACGGAATGAGAGCGGCGGCTCGTCGTCCACGTCGTGCAACAGTCTCAGCTGTTGCTGTTGTTGCTGTTGTTGTTGTTGTTGTTGCTGCTGCTGTTGTTGTGGCTGTTGCTGTGGCTGTCTCAGCTGCTGTTGCACTGGATGCAAGTGGGGAAACTGCTGCTGCGGATGACGCTGTGGAGCTGCCTGGGGAAATGGAAACGGATCCTCTGGCAATATTGTGTCCAGACTGGTGCCCGTATTCGATGCCGACAGATTGCTCTCCACGCGATGATAGCCCAGCTCCTCCTGCCAAATATGCAAAGAATGAAATTTATGAAAATCTGAAATTTGAATTCGTAAAGCTTATGCTTAAGCTTTCAATTGCGAATTAGTGAATCGTGCCACGACTTTTTCTGATTTATATATAGGCGCTCGGCTCGCCGATTACTACTCAGAGTTGTTCTTGAAATCAAAGCCAAAGGTTGTCAAATCTTATCTCCTGTATTCTGCTCTGACAGCAGTTCCATATGTTCCAGACTCTTTCAATCTCTGTCGGCAACACGGCTATACTTTGAGCATAATGCGGCTCTATGGGCAGTGTAGCATGATTATCAATTTTTTAGTTACTACTAAGTACTGGAGCTATTCTTTTTACTTTAAATGATAACATTGGGAATATTAGCTTCATGACCACGCACTTTTTATCACTGTATAAGAATTCCTTATGCACCTTTGCTAACTATTTTAATTGCCTAAATTTATCAGCAATATTTCATTGTATTGACGAAATTTTTCTACTTATCTATCTATTTAATAAAAAAAGTCATAGCTCAAAAATGAATACCGTAAAGATCATTATATGATATGCATAGAAAGTATTTCTCTAATTTTATTATCTATAAAACATCGTAACATTCAAATTTAAATTATCATACTATATAATCTTAATAAGATTTGCAATGAGTATTCTTTGGTATTCATACTCTTCTCGCCTCTTCTGTCTTCTTCTCGCTGAATATTACCCTATAATAGATTCACTCTATATGATAACACTTTATTATGTTTCAATTCCATCGTTTCTATCACAAATATTCGATTCGGACTCTGTGAGTACATATTATCAGAGACTGAATCGTATATATACAGCTTCTATATACATATGTATATTTCTTGTTGTTTGTTGTTTAGCATACTTACACCGGCTCTGGTTAGTTTTTCCTTTAGTTTGCCCATGGCGCTGCTCAGCGGCTGGTGGTGATGGCCTCCACCTCCGCCCCCGCCGGCGCCTCGATTGTCGCGTCCACTCATCTTATCAAATTGTGTCTAATGTTGAACTTGAACTCTCCGCTTCGACCTTGGCAAGTTGAATGTCTTCTCTTTGTTTATATAACGATTGTCAGCTGGGAGAGAGACTCTTGTTTGTAAATTGTAAACGAGGTCTTTTCTTATTTTGTCTGTGTGTATGAATTTATGTCTTTGCTGCAAAGAAAGAAATAAGTAATCATATTATAATAATAACGTAATTGAAAATGATATAGAAATATAAGTAAATGTGTATTTGGGGGGACATTACACAGAGAGAAATGGAATAAAATAAAAAAGAAACAAAAATCAGGCTAAAAGTTCTTATTTTAAATTGATTTTTTTTATCAATGTAAAATGTAAAAAAATAAATTGCGAATTTCATTTTGAGTTTAATTATTTCACTAGATTTGTATTAGAATTATCAAAAGAATTTTACTTATGAAACTTTTATAGATCTAGTTTCTCTAATTAGAGTCTTAGTTAACGTTTAATAACACTTACAATATTGCTTAGATTGCATTGAATTTATTTTAAATATTATTATAGCTTCTGTTCTCTCAGTGTATAGGTATTTATACTTGTTGCGCTTGGACTCTTGCAAAAGTATGGCCAGTTCAATTAGCCTAAAAACAAATGAGTTGATAACGGTTTATATTTGCAAATGCTATTTAGATTTAGATGTCTGGTTCTTATCAGATTTTTGATAGTGCGAGCCCCTCCCATATAAATGGGAGCTGATATAAGGTGCACACCCCTTTTTCAATTGAAATTTATATATAACAAGGTCTGTCGGATATATGTACATACATATGTATGTCTAAATACACAAGTATATATGTGTAAGTGTAGGTGTATTTTCGACGTGGGTCTCAAGTCTGCACGCGTGACCAATTATACAGTCATTTAAAAAAGCAAATGTCCATCATTGAAATGTATATCTACTTATGTAGGAGTGTGATATTACCATTGGCACTCAGTGTTTCTAATCTGTTTTAAGCACTTGTCAAAAATATCTTTAAAAAAATATCTACTGTTCTATTAGCTATTATTAATAATATAAATGACACATTTTCTTTCACTCGTGCCAAATTCTGTTTTGTTGCTTTGCTGGCGCCTTTTTCACTTTCACAAAAAAATATTGTTTATGTTTTAAAGAATTCTGTTTTTTTCTTAGCTGGCATGCGGCAATTGGCCATATTTTTATGTTCAAAAATTTTCCACATTCGACTTTGACTTTGCGACATTTATATGTATGTATTTTTCGCTTTATTTATAAGTTTATAATAAAAAAAATAATGATCATTTTTGTGGGCCAGCGAAAGCTAAAAAAGAATTATATACGAGTTTATTTGCTCCTGCGTCATGTGATGTGGGCGCCATGACGTCGACGCTTCGACCGGTGACTGCGACAGCCGGCGACGCCAGCGTCGACGCCTTCATGGCTGCTGACATCTATTTATTTATTTCTCTCATCTCTCTCTACCTCTACTCTATCGATTCGAGTAGTGACATAACATGAATAGCTATTATTGCTTACATCTTGAGCTATACACTTGCACTATTTTCGCAAATGCGCCTCAAATTGCGTTGCTGCCCTTGAAAAATTCATAAATGCATTAATGCGTGAATGGTGTTGCCGCTATATTTGTAGGCGCCTCAGTTGATGATTCACGTTAAATACATACATATGTATTAGTTGCTGGGGTTGCCTATCTCTAACTGCTCTATTTAATTAAGAGCTACCATGATAACGAGCAACAAGACAGCACAGCATAAACATAGGTATTTGAAGCTCCTACATATACTCACTCACACATTTACAAATCAACGACGCATCGTACTTAACTTCATGCTCTTAAGCGCAGCTCACTGTGTGTGCTCTCTTGAAAACCAATTTTCTCTTATATGTGCTCACGTGCTGTAAGCGTCATATAGCTCTCCCACAACAGTCGCACACAAACATACACACAATTGCCCACACACAGGTGCAAATTGTTTCAGCCGTCACTGTCAACTGTGCAACGTTGCGCATTTGGCATATACATATATGTATATACATATATCAATGTATTTTTAAAACAAAACCTTTAATTTTTAAATGTTACTTTGTTTTGTTGTTAATTAACAAAGTCGAGCCGCAAGTTGTGGTTTAATGTGAGGCAATTAATCTGGGCTACAGACGAAAACTTTAATTGACATCGCCCACGTTTAGTCGTCTGGGTCATATTTAAAATTTGCAACAACAAAAAATACAAAATTTAATAAATAAAAGCTTGCTTATATTTTCTCAAAATACGCAAATACACTACAATACATACATATCAAAACTATCTATCTCTATCTATTTGCACAATTATGTGAGCGTGTTTTTCTCTGTATTGCGATAAAAACA